GTAATGTTTAGTAATTTTTAATAATATTCATTTGTATCCCACCTCTCTGCGTAATGCAACCGCGGCGGCTTACAACATTAAAATATACATTCTATATCCCGCAATCCCACCCACCCCTTAAAATACTATTAAACGATTGACAATTTAAAACACACTTAAGATAATAACACCAACAAACAATAACTGCAACAGAATCAGGGACAATCTTGGATTTTTTATCCTGGATTTTCAATATCCAGACATGCATGTCTCCAGATTTGGAATATTCACTGTATACTAGTATTAGTGTTCCTGTTATTACATGTATTGTACTATACAGACTTTCATTTTGTATCCTCTGAACTTAAAAAGGTTCTTCAGCTTTTCTCGTTCCTTGAATTTTGTTCTCGCGTGCATTCTAGTTATTTCCAACTTCTGGGAACTAGTCTAAGGTGAACCCGTCATGGTTTTTTTTCAGCAAGATTTCTTCAGAGGGAAAGATTGCTCTCGCCTTCCTCTGAGGCTGAGAGAGTGTGATCACCCAGTGAGTTTCCATGGCTGAGCAGGGATTCGAACCCTGGTCCTAGTCTGACACTCAAACCACTGCACTACAGTGAGACTTCCTTGAATAGTGAGAAGTCATTGTTTTATTATGTTTACATCCCACTTTTTTTCTCCACGAGTGCAATAAATAGAGAATATCCATCATTTTCTCCTTTCTCCAGGGCTGTACCTGCAACACTTTGGAACCACTTTATCTGTCATTGCTCCATCCTATGGAATCCTGGGAGTTGTAGTTTCTTGGCTGCCCGCTTTCTCTTCTTTGAATTGCACCTGCTAATACTTTTCTGGAGGCAGCTATTAAAATGTTAAAAGGCCAGTCAGTCCTTGGCTAAGGCTTCCTCGTGGCACAATAAATCACACTAAAAATAAAAATAAAAAGCACAGTAAAAAAAGAGGGGAGGAAAGGGTAAACTCCTGTTTCTATAAATTCAGATTCAGACTGGGAGAAAGGTTTTGAGCACCTAGTTAAAATTCAACTCATTGTTATCAAGGTTTCTCACCACCACAGGTTTTTCCTTTGCAATGAAAATGACTTTGAATTGGTAGATTTTTAAATTTAGACGAAAAAGCCAGCATGGTGTAGTTGTTTGAATGCTGGACCTGGATTCCGGGAGACCAGAGTTCAAATCCCCACTCAGCCAGGGTCACACATTCTCAACCTCAGAAGTCACACACTCTCAGCCTCAGAAGAAGGCAAAGGGTAAACTCTGTCTCCGAACAAATCTTGCTGAGAAACCCCAGTGGTAGGATCTTCTTGGGGTTGCCACGGTCCAAAACACATGGCAGAAATAATCCAGTTTGAGACCGCTTTAACAGCCCTGGCTCAGTGCTAGGGAACTGTAGTTTTGTGAGACATTTAGCCTTCTCTGTCAGAGAGCTCTGATGCCACAATAAACTACAATTCCCAGGATTCCCTAGCACTGAGCTAGGGCGGTTAAAGCGGTCTCAAACTGGATTATTTCTGCCGTGTGTTTTGGACCCATACGTCGAAAATTACATCAAGGCACAGATCAGCAACAAATTGAACAGCTAGATTGCTGATGACAACCATTGTACCTCCAAATGAACTGGATTGTTAAACTTTTCCATAGTTGGTCCTGTAACACTAGTTATTTCAGTGATAGTCTATTTTCTATTTATTCATGCAAACTGATTCGTTTATTTACGGACCTCTGTCATTTCATCTCCCTTCTTGTACTAACTCTGTACCATTTTCTCCCAAATTGATATTTGCTTCTTCATTCCTTCATTTTGATCTACTCTTTCCCTGCAACAGCGAGGAAGAGGAAAGCTTCACAGCGTCAGATTTATCCATCGCATCGGCCCTTGCATTGACGACAGAAGAATCATGGTATGCCTAAACATTTACCGAATAAATACTGCATTTTCGAAAAATCCTAAAGGACAGCTTCATAAGGGTCATTTGTTTTAGCAATCTAGGTCAATATGTACAAAATCTGTGTGACAAGGAGTTGCAAATCAGGAGTGGATATAAACCATGAATGAGGAACTTGTGGTCTTCTGGATCTTGTTGAGTTGCGACTCCCATGAGCTTGCGCCAACATCACTGAAGATTTTAGTAATGTTTATACTGCTTTTATAATGTAACTCCTAGATCTGGAAACATGGATCTGTAACTTCTTCTTAGCTTTCAACTACAACAAGTTGGGATCCTATACTTTTGGGATTGCTAAAGATGTAATCTCTCATGGCTGAACTGGATAAGTTTTATCATGATGGATTTTACTTAGGACGTTATCACACGGGGAGTCGCGGGGAGAAAGTGGAAATAATCGGGACGAGCGGAAGACTTTAATTTACGGGATTTGTCCCGTTCCGCCTCGTCTGATAACTAAATTCGAATTTAAAAGGGGGTTAATTCGAACAAAAACCTGATCTTTTCAAATTCTCAAAAATCCCGAAAATGAAAAGATCAGGTCTGCATTTGAATTAACCCCCTTTTACTTTCGAATTTAGTTATCAGACGAGATGGAACGGGACAAATCCCATAAATTAAAGACTTCTGCTCGTCCCGTTTAGTTCCACTTTCTCCCCGCGACTCCACATGTGATAACGTCCTTAGTTATCTTATTTTTCTTTTATATGCATTAATAAAACTATGCTTTTTGACTTTACAATGTGTCTTCTTGGCTGAGGAAAACAGGATTGCCTGGAGAAGAAAAGCTGAGCTAGTTGATGGTAAGAGATACAAAGTGGCTGTGGATCACAGCAGCCAGCTTGTCCTGCAGATTCTGTTGGGTGTCAAAGAGCATCACTGCAACACCCATCATCCACACACTGACAATGGAACATGCAGTCCATATCCTCCGACATTTCAGAGAAGAAAACCAGGACATAGGGGACCAAGCAAGATCAGAGCGTGGTCAAGATGGCAAAGTGTGGTCAAGATGGACGTAGGGTGTCACCCGGTGTGGTCCGCACATCCGCACCTCCAAGCGGAAGTGGGTTACACTAGATGACCCCTTGCAATCCTTCCAGTCCTGATTCTCGGATCCTTTATTTTCTGCTTTTCATTCTCAGGGAAACAAGGATGAGACGGGAGGCAGCTATTCTGAAGCTGGAGGAAAGAGGCCAGAAACAGGTTCGGTTTGGGAACGACATGGAAAAGTTGGAGAAAGACGTCATCAGGAACTGTCGGTTCTTGCGGGTGAAGGCAGACAGGAAAGCCCTCCGGAGGAAGGTAAGAGGAGAGGGATTTTTTGGCTGGGTGTGTCAGAGGTGGGCGGTTGGGAAGATGAACTCAGCCCAGCAGTTGAACATGTTTGCTTTCGGTTGGCATGCAAGCAGCACTGAAAATTGGGCAAAGTTCAGAGGGTAGGATAGAGAGAGACGCAAGCGGATAGGACATCTTAGCCATGCATAACTTTCCACCCACATCCACCTACCAGCCTTAAGGCTGGTCCAGAAGTTTGCAAATGGCTCCATCTGGAGCATCGTTGCACAACCACACCTTTGCAAAGGAACGACGTCTGACTTTAGAGTCCTCCAGACGATGCATTGGGAGACAGCAGTTTGGTGTATTGGTCTGAGTGTTGGACTATGACACTGGAAACCGTGTAAAACCACAGGCTGCAGCTTCAGAGGATGGGAATGGCAAACCTTCTTGGAAGAAACTTGCCAAGGAAATCGCATGATAAGGTTGCCTTAGGGTCGTCGTAAGTTGGAAATGACTTGAAGGCGCACAACAAGAAGTCTCTGGGTGCATCTACATTGTAGACATAGTGCAGTTTCACACCACTTTAACTGCCATGCCTCCATCTATGTGGCCTGAGGTGCTCACATTTTGGCCAATGGTAAGGCAAAGAGAGCCAGCACGGCATAGTGGTTTGAGTGTTGGGCTGCAACTCAGGAGACCAGGGTTCGATTCCCACTCAGCCAAGAAACGCACTGGGTGACCTTGGACAAGTCACACACTCTCAGCCTCAGGGGAAGGCAATAGCAAACACCATGACAGGCTCGCCTTGGGTCGCCATAAGTCTGACACAATTTGCTGGCACACAACAACAACAACAGCAAGGGCCCAGAACCCGATGAAAGTAAGAGTTGTTTGGTTGATGTATCAGAAAACAGAAGTGTTAATGCTTGCCAGCACCATTCCTGCAGATGTATTTATAGAGCACAGAGATAAAAAGTTTAAAAATTGTCCCTGGTCCTCGTCCTAGGCGGAAGCCAAGGCACGGCTCGAAAAGGAGGTCATGGAGCTGTTGTCGTGCCGCGCGCCTATGTTTTG